AACAGTCTCGGTGATGTTTCTCTTTGCGGTCTGTACCGCCCATAGTCACCCAGCATATGGCTAAAGGCTAAAAGGGCACGGAGCAATTGCACACTACGCAGCTATATATCTGTGTGTAGGTAGGTTTACAGCCATGAACGGTGTGTGTAAAAGTATTTCTGACCTTTCAGAACAAGGCGCCGACTAAGACGATTTCGTCGTGTTCCGTTGTAGCAAAATCTTACATATAGGTTGTAGACTGACAACAGCAGCTGTTCGCAACCTCATTATTCCCTCACAGCCTGATAATGCTTGTCAGTCTAGAAGGCTTCTGCTTATCGCCATGCAACAGTCAGTGGTATTAGTAGAAGCCCCAGGCGCGTGGACAGTGCGGGTAAGATGTCTCTAGGGAAAGCCAAACGCACATGCACGCATACGCGCATGCACATGCACGCGCACACATACACGGCTACATAGTACACGCTCGCGCACACTTACATACACATACGCTCCCACGAGCACAAACACGCGCCTGCGCACGCAGCCAATGACAAACACACACATAACTATATACTCCTACGCGCACACGCATGTACGTACGCATGGATGCACGCACGCACGTACATTGTCTACCCTATCTCATTTCTGTTTCAATGCGAGCATATTGACTAATGCCCAACCCGCCGCCCGATTGCGGCGATACGCACTTACTGACTAGTCCGTCATTGACTATCAAAACCTCATACCTTCGTTTCATTAAGGGCTCCTGATGGGCGAAAATTGCAATTAACCATTCCTAGAAGTTCCAAGAATTGTATTCTCTTTTGCCGCGGGCCGAAATCGATAGAGACTGTATGCGTTGTGTTTGTCTGTACCACCGATCAGCGCTTGTTTACGGCATTGCACCGCAAGCACCAGACGGGAAACTAGAGAATACGAGCTATAGAATATAAATTTAACGACGTACAGTTCAACTTAGCTCAGCAATTGCTGTGTTACTGAATAGACCGGCTACGTTTTCAAAACACGTCTTCTAAAAGTAATAATCTAAACTTGTTTTCGCATCACGTACAAACGTATAAACAGTTGAATTAACGCATGAACTTTGTTGAATTCCACTCGATTATATTATTATAATGGTACGAATAACTACGGCCTTCGGTGCAATACTGACATATTTGGCAGAACATTTATATGTTTGACACAGTATTTGCGATTTTTTTGCGATTTAACTTGGTGTTTGCAGAATATTTTCTTACACGGAGATCGCTAATAATGGCCATGGTGCCTGCTAATCATTTATGTCAGCACAACTCAAGTAACATCCATTATGTAAATGAGATAGAAAATGTTAATTATGGAAGGAATGCGAGACTGATTTAATACATGTAAGATCGTAAGATGAGCATCAGAGAACGAGAAAAAAAATCCATAATATTCACTACATTGGTATTCAATACAACAATAATAGGGCCTACAGTAAAAAGAAAAAATCATTTATTAAAAATCTGTTCTTCTCGGGAAAATGACAGATCATGAATGATCTTGAAAATATGACGTTAGCGTTTATTTGAGCTGCTTGTCGAAGTTATGTCTGTGCAATGGCATCGTCATATGTACAAAAGTATTTACTTTGGATGTAATTTTTCTCTTTGTTTCGCGGCTGTAGGTATTGTATCACACATCGATCATTATTTCAATTTTATGCCCCGTAGGATTACGTGCAGCTACATATCCTGATATGTATACTTCTACTATCAACACATCACTACGTCCCCTCTCACAGATGGGGTAAGCCTACAATTATCCCTCGCCAATCGCGTGGTTGGTGACCGCTGCTTTAGTAACCACGGAAAATACGGTGGCACTCAATATCCAAGTTGGCTAAATCTAAAATGTCACAAATGATTATTCAAACGTCCCGCTGGCGTCGCCTCCTCGTCACAAAATTCCACAACTGACATGCCTTTTTCCTCGTTTCTCGTATAGTAAGTATTTAATAATAGCTTTATAGAACCCCTCCCCTAAATCGGCTCACACGCAACCCTGAATACTGTCCACGGACCAAGAGCACTATCGTGATAGCTTTTGGGCTAACATTAAAAGCAATACTCTTCCTTAGTTCCTTATTACGTGTGGTTATTTCGTGAATGGCTGTTGCGTAGTCGTGTCCCTGGATTACAACCGCTTCTTTAAATACGACTTTAGTCTTGTCAATCGCCTGTGGCAACAACGAGGTGTCGTAAGAAGTTAACCATCGCTGTTGATAAGTGATGTCTATAGCCAGAGCGGCTTAACATAAATTTCTGAAAGACCTCGGTATTTTGACGTCGCGGCGCCATCTATCTATGAGTGGTAGAAAATACATCGCGCAGCAACAATGGCATGGGCTCGCTCATAAACATAATATACTGTAACACATTATATCAGGAGTGAATAATAATAGATTCTATTATTATTCACTCCTGATTATATATCATCTACCTACAATAAATAAATAAATATATATATATATATATATAGTATATAGCACCATGTATGGTATTATATTATGATATATGTGGGTTCGCTAACCAGCGATTCCCTAAATGTCACGCAACAGTATTAAAACGCTACCAAGTCATCAACGGTGGGGTTATATAACGTGACGCATAGTCTGCCGACCGATCGTAGGGCCTCTCGGCTCAACACCGATGCTCAGGCAATGTTTCATATAGCTTCCTCAGCAAGGTTCCTCCTTGTAGCTGCAACCGAAAAAGAGCTTCCTAAATAAAGGTCTCTAGCTGACTGCGGATTCATGTATTGCGGACTGGTTATTAGTGATCCGTAGTGTTTATAAATATTGTATCAGAATATAACGTAGCACATATGGTAGCAGTATATAAGGTGAGCGCCTACATAAATTGTTCATGTAATGCGGCTAAGATTCCGGGCCGTATAATTAGCCACCCCACTTGCGTTAAAACACGAATTTTTCATTAATATGCAAATATAAAATATGGAATACCATATTTATTATTACTCGTTTGTTGAGTATAGCGCCCTGCTGACCGTTATACGTTTCTAAATATACGGTGGACCCGATATAAACGCGGGCGAATAGGTCCCAATGTTGGACCCCGTTATGACTGCGTCCGCCTTATATCGAGTTTAGATAATTTCATGTATAGCCTACAGTGCCCGCACGGGAATGGAAATGTCCTGGATTTTATCTAATTTTTAAAAAAATGGAGAGATATTTATATCTTCGTTTATCTATCTATCTATCTATCTATCTATCTATCTATCTATCTATCTATCTAATTCTATCTATCTATCTATCTATCTATCTATCTATCTATCTATCTATCTATCTATCTATTCTATCTATCTTCATCTATCTATTATCTATTCTACCTATCTATCTATCTATCTAATCTATCTATCTCTCTATCTATCTATCTATCTATCTATCTATCTATCTATCTACTATCTATCCTATGCTTATCTATCGCTATCTATCCTATCATTCATCTACTATCTATCTATCAGCTATTCTATCTATCTATCCTATCTAAGTATATAAATATATATATATATATATATTACTATATATTATATAATATATAATATATAATATATATATATATATAGTATATAAATATATAATATATATATACTATATATATATATCTATATATACTATATATATTATATATATATATTAATATATAATATATATATATCTATATAATATGATATATATGTGTGTGTGTGTGTGTGTGCGTGTGTGGTTAGGTCGATCTGTGCTCTTGTCAATTACTCAACGGTTACCGGTGGGCGCAATAAAAATAAAAATAAACAAATAAGAATTACATGACCAAAAATAAATAAAGTAAGGTAAAAATATTAAAGAATAAAATAAAAGTGTTGACCCGTTTGCTTTTTGGTCATCTAGCCAAGACCAATCCGGCTTCCGTGGCGATACGTTTTAGGAAAAAGAACGAAAAGGGTGGCCGGCAAACTAGTTACTAGTTAATTGGCCCGCTTGACCCTTTGACCGCTTTATGATTGATTCAATCAAGGTGGATTGTTTGCTTTTTCCAAAGACCAAATGCGATGCGTTTTGTCGATGTGCACAGGTACGCGTGAATACACGCGTACTCGCATATGATATACAAAGACGTACGGTCGCACGCACATATCCGAATGCGCACACGCCTTCTTGCGCTCGTATGCGGCATGCCGCTCGCGCAGGAACACGTGTTCATACACAAACGCGCGCGTGAACACGCACGCGCAAGGTCTATAATTATCAGGAGTCTATGAGTAGAGCAGAGTAGAGTCGAGTAAGCTTTATTTAATGTCGGTAGTGTTGAACAAAGAAACATAAGCCATGGCTTTTCTGCCGACCATCACATATAAATTAGAAAACCGATAAAATATAAAACATTTTGCACGAAACATACATAGAATCAGAAGTTAATAATAACAAATTTGTCATTATCAACTCCTGATAGAAATTAATACAATCATTTCCAATCATTTACACATTGCACATTTGCACTTATCCCCCTCCCACGATCCTAGCATTTTCCTGAAATCATTTAAAAATTTTAACCATGGCTTTTCCGCCGACCATCACATATAAATTAGAAAACAGATCAAATATAAACATTTAGCACGAAACATACATAGAATCAGGAGCTAATAATGACAAATTTGTCCCTATCAACTCCTGCACATTTGCACTTATCCCCCTCCCACTATCATATGCGCACCATTACAAATATATTTATATTGATAGACTTCTGTAATTAACACCCAGTCCTAGAATTGAAATTACGCGGTGACCGACCGTAAAATCCACGTGAAATCACGCGAGAATCACGTAAGATATCATGCGCGTAATCACGTGAAAATCATGCATGACAGTGTAGCCATATTTAGAAACGCTCACATGCAAAGGCAGCTATGGTTTATTAACTGGCCGCTTGGGTGCGCGAGTATCGGTCGTGAGGCTAGTCTGGGTTTTGACCGCTTTGTATTTCAGTAATATAGCACATAATTTAATGATTTATGTGAAAAGAAAAAAGATAGTGGCCAAGTCTATATGAACACATCCTCAAATCTCAATGTTTGGATTGCTCTATTGTTTAGACATCGGACTACTTGAAGTTGTACAAAAATCACACTCATTGATGAAACAAATTCAGGTAAACGGAAGATAATGTGTGAATAGAGTATAGACAACTAAAGCCGTTTGTGTGAAAATAGTTTAGCCGGTGAAGATCAGTCATGCTAAAGCCCACAGGCACTTGAAGCGTTTCAATAACATATAATGCTAACTAAATACGAAATCTTTTTTTCACCTATTAATAGTATTATTTTACACAGTGGCTATATGCCCGGCAGCCGGCGTATATCTGACGGCTGCCGGGCACGGTCTTCGATTTCCTAAATGCCCGGCAGTTTTTAATTTTTAGCGTTATGTCAAGTAAACAAGGGTTAGGGTTAGAGTTAGGATTAGGGTTAGGGTTAGGTTTAGGGCTAGAGTTAGGGTTTTTGTTAGGTTTAGGGTTAGGGTTAGAGTTAGGGTTAAGAACTGCCGGGCATTTAGGAAAACGAAGACCGTGCCCGGCTGCCGGGCATATAGCCACAGCGTTTAGGAAAACGAAGACCGTGCCCGGCTGCCGGGCATATAGCCACAGCGATTATTTTATTGCCGACAGTTTCCTGTAAATTCCGTCCAAATCCTACGTGCAACGCTACCAAAATCCTACGCTGCCAACCGCCATTGCTTTCGCGGCTCCATTGTTGCACGCTTACACTAATATATATAGTGTATTATTATTATATATATTATATCAAGAGCATATAAAGAAGGAGAGCGTACAGCGGTAAAATGCTGAAACCATGTTGCAGTAGTAGTCGAATTAATAAACTTTCCCCGTTTTATTTTTTATATATAAGTTATAACTATATATATTAGTGTAAGCGTGCAACAGTGGAGCCGCGAAAGCAATGGCGGCTGGCAGCGTAAGCTTTTGGTAGCGTTGCACGTAGGATTTGGATGGAATTTACAGGAAACTGTCGGCAATAATAGGTGAAAGAGAGTATAGAAACATTGAGAAGTTGGTAGTAAATAGATTTCGTATTTAGTTAGCATTATATTTTATTGAAACGCTTCAAGTGCCTGTGCTACTGCCTGGCGCACATTGCCGAACATTTTCCCGAACAATTGTTTTTGTCTGGCAATGTGCGGTTGAACAATTGCTGAGCGCACCTTGCCGAACATTTTGCAGCGAACAACCTCGTGGCGCCGTCTAGTAGCTGTGTTGTAAAGAGTCACGTGATCGGCACATGATTGGGCACAAAAATCATGTGACCACGTATCGTGCTGCTATTGGTTACTACTTTACAAATGTTCCTAGAATTGTTCGACATTCAGCGCACATTGACGAACATTCGACGAACAATGTTTGAGATATCAAACATTTCCGATCTTCAAAAACATTGTTCGGAACAAATGTTCGGCGACTTTTTTCTCCGCACATTGCCGAACATTTCATGGTAACATTGCCGAACATTGCTACGATAATGTTTTTGAGCAAAATGTTCGGCAATGTGCGCCAGGCTTAACTAATTTAACAGCGTGTGTTGCGCTGAGTCAGTGAGTGTGAGTGTGACTCACTGCATATGTTGTGGAATTTCCACTGGAAATACCTTCGCAAATCATATACCTTGTTACTTAGCTCTATCCGTGCCACTTCGCTGCGTCACCGGGTTATAGAATAATACAAGGTTAGTGCACATGCAGTTGACTTGGAACTTTTCTATAATAAAATTATGGTAAATAAACACGAAATGTATTCATTAGTAATTACCACTCGCAGCTAGGGCCTGCATACCTCCCAAATCCCTATTGGTTGATACAAATCTAGTTAATTTTTTTAATTAAATTTTAATTAGGGTTAGGATTAGGGTTAGGGTCACAATGCACCATAAAAGTTTTATTAAAACAGGAGTTTGAGGCACGTGATTTGTATTGATAACCAATGGGATTTGGGAGGTACCGTATGCAGGCCCTAGCTGGGAGTGTAATTACCAAAGTTTCTCTACTCGCTTTTGCATATTATTAGTAAATACTAATAACTTTCTGTAAATGCAATTCAAATCATGCTGCTCTAGGACATACATTTTCACTTTACGAATGCCGCTGTACACAAACAACAAAATTATGGTGCTAGTGGTAAAGCGCGACCGCAAAATTCGCATGACGCTCGTTTTGTTTCATACAACCACAGCACAAATACACAACCAACAGCGTTCTTTTGGTATTTTATCAAATTATAATTTTGCCATTTGGTACTGCACACTTTACCCAGAGATATCTAGTAAATTCCTGCGGAAAACTCCCACTCGGCTGAAATGTAAATTGGAGCAAGTACATGTGAGCATTGTCACTGCATTGCATTTTGGATTCAAGTCCTCCCTGCTTCCGAGCTCTATGTCAAGGCCCGCCAAGCCCAGGTAGCATACAGTAAAAACCCGCGTATAAGAACATAGATTTTAAGAACATGTTAGGCTAAAATTTCCCATTTAGACCCCTTTACATAAGAACCTGTTTTAGGCTAAGATTTTAAAGTAGGTTCTTAATTTTCCATGCAGATGAAGACTTAAAAAGAAACACAGGTAAAATAAAAAAGACGAGCTCAACAATATCGATGCAATAACAATGCCAATGCCAATGCCAATGCCAATGCTCAACAATAACAATCATATCTATTAATAATATAATATTATATAATATATTATATATATCATATAATATTATCTCAACCATAAAAAAACAAACATGTGCAACAACTAAACTCTCCATATAACACCTTACACATAACACTACTGTACTGGTAACACATGCATCAGTCACTAAGCCCGCGCGTAGCGCGGGTTTCAGCTAGTACATATTAAAAGTAGAAACAATTAAGAACCTATTTAAGAACCTTTTGAGCCTAATTTTTCAGTAAGCACCATTTATATAAGAACATGTTGAGGCTAACTTGGAAAAATCTATGTTCTTATACGCGGGTTTTTACTGTAATTCATGTGGGCATGATGTCACACACAACTACGTTCATTGGCTAAACAACCGAATAGCGTGGTTAGGGAGTTTCCGATTATAAACAGGCGATTGCTCCGATTTACATTTTGGCAGAGTGAGAGTTTTCTGCAGGAATTCACCAGATATCTCCGGGTAAAATGTACCACAGTTTAGAGCATAGCCAGTCATGTTGTGAGGATTCCCTACCAGGTGCATTTATACATTGATTTATAGCCCTGTTACAGAGCGAACGTTTACACAAGTAGAGTAAGTGCCTTGTCATGATCATAGTTTCCTTAATATTATTTTTATTATATATAGACCTACTTGGTTAGCTGCTGGGCCTAGTTGAAAGTGAAACGTGGAGAATGAGCAGATTGCTACCATTGTCGTAGTACCGTCGTTATAAGATGTCATCACCTCGCAACAAACTGACAGAGTTTGCACCACTGAGCTCTGAAATTAAGCAACAATCTGGATCAGGATTTCTCCTCACGAGATTTTTTAAGAAAAGCAAAGGTATAGTTGTATTTGATCTGGGGATCATCAGAGGTAAAATCTCAAAATCAGCTAGAATATACCATAGGCGCCGCACACATGTATAAATTCAAGCTACAGATTGAAAACACATTGGAAATCATTTAAAAGATATTTTCTCACCTGCCGTGTATTCCACGCGCAAGCTTACTGGTTTTACTTACTTCCCAGATTCATCACGTGAAGGGAGTTCGTCGCATTCCCCATCTCCAAATACAGCCGAGAATAGAAAGGATGTGTATACCGTCTCGTCTACTAGCACGAGTTCAGGCAATGACCAGCGTGAGGTGAAGAAGGTCCCGGATAAAACGCAATATGTTCCCTGTTCTGCTCACAGGAGAGGGCGGTCGATCACGGAGGACGAACTTTTGGAACGAAGCAAAAGTCGTCAAGTTCTCACTGGGCCAGAGGTTGCCCAGACCAGAACAGCACAGACTGTTCTCAAAAGGCTACGCAGTATCTTGGATCATACGAATCAGGTTTGAATGCACTATGAATTGCACTTTGAATGCACTTGAATACAGGTTGAATGTGTATATATGTCTAATTACAGTTGCTTCATGGTTAGTTAATGGTGTTCATTTCTGTGTCTGGTCATGAATTCAATAATCAAATCAGATTAATTCATGAACAAGAATATTGCTGGAACAACTAGTACAATTGTATATCATATTCATAAGAGACAGTTCCCTGGTTAACTAGGTTTAGGTGTTAGAAGCTTGCCATTTAAACGTTTATATTACATTGATATCATGTATTAATAAATTATAATTATATCTGTTAATGTGTTTAATTGCAAGGTATAATTCAGATTAAACTCCTATCCCAACTACACCCTAAACTACCAGAAGTGCTCACAGTCTACTATATAAAATTTGACTAGATAACTAACTAGCTGTGTATATACACAGCTAGTTAGTTATCTAGTCAAATTTTATCTTGGAGTACAAATTAATAAAGGTTATCTTTGCACCCTGGACAGGGCTCGAATTAACCGACGGCACCGACGGCAATTGCCGTCGGTGCCCCTGAAAATCCAACCCGACCGACGGCAGTCACCTGCCTTGCCCTTTTGTGTAATTGCCGTCGGTGCCCTTCAATCTACTGCCCTAGTTCCGTTTTTAGTCGAATCAACATAACACGTGCGCGTGCGTGCTATAGTTGCAATGATGAGCTAAAAACCGATAGTCGCAGGAGGGAATAATAACAGCATCGGATAATTATTCGCTCCTGATAGCGGGCATGTAAAATTTCTTGTTACTGTACTTCCATTAGCAGAGGTGGGTACAGGGGTCGGTGTTACGGTGTAAGCTTACATGGGGGCATATTGTTTTGCACATTAAAAGCAAGACGATGTTGATGTACTAATTTGTTATGAGTTTTCCTTTTTTTTACAAAAGTGCCTTGGTGCCCTTCTCAAATTTTGAGAGTTGCCTTGGTGCCTTTCTATTTTAGAGAAAATTCAAGGCGATTTCTCACATGCCCTAAAAAAATTGCCTTGCCCTTCTCGTCGCTTAATTTGAGCCCTGACCCTGGATTTGCACATCTCTTATTCGGTGATTGACCAATGTGATCTTCATCCAGGGAACCTGATAGTGATTACTTCCTTTGACGCTATTCAGACTCTGAAGGAGTATGACGACAGTGACTTGAAGCAGTACTGGATGCCTGACAGCAGCTGTAAGGAGTGCTATGATTGTGGGGACAAGTTCACCACGTTTCGCCGCCGCCATCACTGCAGAGTCTGCGGGCAGATCTTCTGCAGTAGGTGTTGCAACCAGGAAGTTCCAGGAAAACTCATGGGATGCACAGGTGAGTGAGGTTCTCCAGGAAATCAAATAGTGTCCCCTTAAATCAAACATATTCGAGTAAGTTAGCTATTATATGTTTTTTCAAATGTTCATGTTTTGAATTTATTCAAAGGTGGATATTATTTATTACCTTTGAAGGAGTTGTGTGTAGAAGTAACATAGAAGTAACCAGCAAGTAACAGAATAAGTACAGTTGAAGTAAGTAGTGTAGAAGTAGCCAGCTGAGAACCTGTCAGTTATTATGTGCACGTGTAAATAGTTGGAAAATTCGTATTTATACTAAATTGTGTATGACAGGTGACCTCCGTGTGTGCACCTACTGCTGTAAGATGGTGCTAAGCTATGCGCAGAGCTCGGATTCATCATACGACCTCGCTAGCCTTCAGGAGAACATGTCCTCTCTTGTGGCCACCATCGAGAGCGACTCCGACAGCTACACCGAAACAAGCCGCACCCCTTCCAAGAAACGTCGCTCGTTCTTCTGGGAGGAGGACCTTCTCAAGCCGGTCGGCACGGAATCTTTTCCCAGCGTCAACTCGCTCCCCCGCCTCGCGACCCACCCGTTCGACATCACTCCCATCTCGGAATTTGCCAAGGGCGATCAGTTCTTCCAGGAGAGGAAAGCTCTGGTGGAGGATTCGGCACAGCTTAAGGAGCTGTGGTGTCAAATCACCAATCCGATCCATGGTGTTGAGTTACAGAACCGCAGGCATAGACTGCGCAACTACACAAACTGTATCGTCGGCAATGAATTGGTGGACTGGCTACTAAGGAACGATAAAGCTTCAGATAGGTTTGTATATGAGGAGTAACTATTATAACCTGTAATTTACGATGATAATTATAAGTTGCGATTAAATCTGATGCTGTAATAGTTGCTTAAAAAGCCATCACAGTGATTTTAAAGTGGGCAGTATAAGACATTTTATTTCTAACTGTGTACTAGTTGTTTAATAATTCTGTGTTGTATTGTCAGGTACCAAGCTGGTGCCATAGGGCAAGCATTGATGGATGCCAAATTTCTCGAATGTGTCACCACACATGCTCAGATATTTTCTGATGAATACCAGCTGTACAAAGCTGGAAAGGTATTACTCTTTAGAAGTGCAGGTTCTAGTATCTTGTATTATAGTCAATGTGTAGAAGTAATTGTGAGAAAGAGCAAATTGTTATTATAACGGTAACTAGCTCACATTCGGATGATGAATTATAAACTATAAAAACTTGTAAGGGTTTGGCCAAAAAGTTAGATGCAGTACAGTTGTCAACATTCATAAATCACAAGAAGAAAGGATGTGCCAAGTTATAAAAAAATATAGACTTACTGTCAAAAAGGTAATCTCGGACGATAGATGAAATTACGCGTGTTGTTAATATATGAATAAAATCTTGCATATAATATATTTTAACGCATATTTATATCTCTAGGGGTAGAAATTAACTTTTGAACAAGGGAGTCCAACAGACTCCCTACCCTCAAAAAGAGAGTCCGCAGCAAAATGAGGAAGTCTGCAGTCTGAGGTTCAAAATTAAAGATATAAACAATAACTCATGTGCTTATTTTTAAGATTCATGCAGTTGCACGTCTCCCAAATTTTCTTTGGACAGTAGCTGAAAAAATACAGTAATTCCGCGAGGCCGTGCTCCGGAACGAACTAGTTAGTATGGCAGAATTTTTAGGGAGTCCCACAGACTCCCTGCATATGTCAAATCAGGGAGTCCGACAGTAAATCAGGGAGTATTTGACTCCGGACTCCCGTTAATTTTGCACCTTGTATCTCCCTATTACTTTAAGGCAGCAAAGTTAGATAGTCCAACAGACACATGCATTCATGGAGAACATGTACAGTTGGAAGAGGACCAAGAACCTACCTGGTTTAAGGAGATACAAAGAGAAGAAGAAGAGATATCTCGTCCTGATGCGCAGGAGAAGGAAAAAGACGAGAGTAAGTGCAGCAAGAAGTTCATACTGGAGTAGAAAGCAAGATTTGATTCGAACGAAGTAAAGTGGCAGAGTAGATCCAACAAGCATACTTACAATTATAAGCATATTAAATATCTTGTTAAATGCTCAACTACAGTGTCAGTTGTATATATCCTAGTTACATTACTGGTCATGTTGTGTGTAGAGAGCAGATCACGGTCTAGTTTATTGGAATCCCGAAACGAGCAGTCTACGAGTTCCATTGACAGCCTAGAGAGCTCTGGTGCAACATTCTACCTAAACCTGGATGAGGAAAAAGGACAGGCTGGAGTCTCGGTAAAGAAGAGGGAGACGAAGCAAGAGAAACACCAAAGTGAGACGTGATAAATGTATCACATAGCATAGATGTTTGCTTAATTGTCGCTAAATATGCCTGAGGAGAGTTGTAACTATTCTGCCAGTTGTTTTGTTAAAGAATTACTTTTTACAAGTATAATTAAACATTGTTAAGTGTATCGTTAAAATATCTATTTAGTGAACCACCACATATTTGCTGGAAGCTATGGTAAATTTTACCCGACATTTTAAAATGCATTTCTGTTTTGGTAGTTTTATCTGGCAAGGCACTCGATGTTAGACAAACATCAATGGGGGAAAATGCTATTGGTAGCATGCTAAACACACTAACATCTTCTGGAACCCAGGATGACTTCATAAAAGGTTAGTTATTATCTTGCTTCTCCCAAAGTATTGTAGTAGAGATGTAATAAATGCATAACTCTTTTTAAATGACTAGTAAGAGCTCGAATGCCTGCCTGAGGTAGAAAACATAGACCAGCTCTACGAAGGAGGATATTCACTGCACTATATGCCACGTAGATTTGACTAGCAAATTGTTTAATTTCATGAAGCTATAGGGTTAGCGACGACCATTCAAGCTCAAATGCAATAACTATCATAAAACAAAGAATTGTCATTGCATTTATTTTAATATTCACATGAATTTTTAGCTGGTTGCTATCGTTATTACTCTTGCTGCTTCAGGGGCATTGTCAGTGAAGAGCAGTGATACTATCATGTCGGCTGAGAAGGCAGACTACTGGCAGACAGGGACCAGTGCATTGATGTCTGAGGACAGGGAGGTCTTCAAACTGTTTAGGTGCCACTAAAATTGTATATGACGTTTTAGAGCTGATTGCCCCTGTGTGCATCGGTGTGTGTATCTGTGACAGTGTCAGATGAGGCAGAAGTTATGTGAGTTAGCATGAGGATGCTGGTTTTATTAATGGTCGCCATCAATGTAAGTCTGATTCTATGCGCTCTGCTATGCTAGTGGATCGCTTAAACCAAGTCTTCCGTGTAAGGTCGTTTTGATACAATGTTCAACACTTTAACGACCGTCCGGGCTATGAACACATCCATGTGGCAGTAATAATGCATTAGAAATTAGTGAGGCAGCATAGAAAATTTAAAATTTATTGTGTTTTGTTAAAAAGCCACAAAATTTAGCACTGATATACATGCACGCACGCATACACGCACACAGACACGCACACACACACACACATACACGCATGTACAGACACATATGAAGCCTATAAAATTTGGTACTGGATTGCCATGGTGGGCAAAAAATGGTGGTTGAGCAATTTAATCGATATTAATTCGTTATAATGTTGCAGTGCGGCAGCTAACTATCACATGGTGGCATTGCTGAAGCAGCTGCTCAGCTCAGAATGTCTCTCCCTGACATGGAGCGATGTGATAATGTCACTTGCGATGAGGATAGCAGAGACTGTTCGACCGGATGTCAAGCATGAAGGTGATGACATGGACATTCGTCAGTACGTTCACATCAAAAAGGTGAGAAAATCTAAAATTAAAGGTGGGAAAATCGATGAAAAGGTCATTTATGCTGTCCGTGGCTACTTCTTTCTCGAATCATTGAGATAATAGTGTGACTGTACGTATTCGATTACGGAAGTGATGAGAATTTAGCATGAGGTCTGTCACTAACACGTTTAGCAACTCAGATTCTTGTCTTGCAGCTTTCATTTGCCCCGTGTCTTCCACTACTTTTCAGTTGTATTTCTGAAATGTATGACGAGATATGCTGTTTTGCTATGAGCATGGTCAGCATTGAAAGTTAAAATTTTGCTACGCGGCAGTCCTCTATAATTAAACGCGTAAACATCAGGGTAGACGTAGTTCATATTCCACATAATTTAAGAGCTTAATGTGGTGGAATACTTTAATGATTATATATTAAACTGAAGTATACGTTTTTACTCGGTTAATAATGCATGTAAGCACGTGTGGCAGCCACCTGATTAGACTGCATGGTTTAACTTGTGACAGGTGCCTGGAGCGAGCAAAACGGATACCAAAATCATTCATGGAATAGTCTGCAGTAAGAATGTAGCACACAAAAATATGATGACTCAGATCACCAATCCAAAGGTGTTGCTGCTCCGATCTGCAATCGAGTACCAGAGAGTGGAAAATAAGTTCTCGTCAATCGATCCTGTGGTGATGCAGGTACATGAATGATTAGATATACCTATTGCATTCTTTATTGCAGGTGTATGCATATAGCGTGGCCCTACTACTGGTTTTTAGCACGTTTACAAAATGTGAAGATTAGTAGACAACATTGGTAATTTTACGTTACTAATTAGTAAATAAAATTACCAGATACAATGCAAGTAAAATTGCATGTGAAGTATCATCAAATTGTGGATTAGTACCAATAACCTACATAACCTAGTTCATGGATCTAGGTTTATGGATGTACAGTTTTTTTGTAAATTAAATGGTTAACAACCTTACATCAAATTAGCACATATGATAAGGCATGAAATTCCTATAGTTTAGCATTGGTGGTTAAACAAATATCATCAAGAATCCAAAGGGAGCATTGTGATATATATATATATATATATATATATATATATACTAGATATACTATATACTACCGAATTGCGAACCCAACTGCTCTCTTATCAGGAGAAGGAGTTTTTGCGCAACTCTGTGGCCAAGTTGGCAGGAATGGGGCCGGATGTGATTCTTGTGGAAAAGTCTGCATCGCGATTAGCTCAGGACTTCATCCTTGAGACTGGTATGAGTCTAGTGATGAATGTCAAGCCGGTAAGTGAAGTAAAGCGTTTTTCTCTTCTAAGATGGAGCTTGTGTTGTGGGGTCGATCCCTATAGTAACCTATCTTCTAAGATGGAGCTTGTGTTGTGGGGTCGATCCCTATAGTAACCTATCTTCTAAGATGGAGCTTGTGTTGTGGGGTCGATCCCTATAGTAACCTATCTCAAATGTTGAATTCCATACAGTCGAGTATAGAAGCTTATGGGTCAACTGGATTTGAATATTAATAAGTTCATTCACTATTATAAAAACTTATGGTTGTAATAATTATTTGTGCTGCAGTCTGTGCTGTCAAGAGTGGCACGATGCACACAGGCCGATGTTGTGCAGTCGATAGAGGGGCAGATCACGCGGCCTCGACTTGGTTTTTGTCACCAGTTTGGGGTGTATCCATTCAACATTCAGCCTCACAAGCCAGATGGTAATGAGAACTATTTTATATTACTATGGCTTTACTATCATAAAAGTAAAAGTGATTTCTCTAAAATAACATTTTATCATTTAAAGAAATGAAATTGTGATATGAATATATTATGGTAACAAATGGTATGTTGATTAAAACTATTTTATAAATCTTGTAATCACTTATTTTTTGTTGCCATTGCACAGATGCTAAATTACAGCAGGAAAGGTAGTTGTCTGGTCGCATGTAACTATCAAAATTACATTTTTAAATAGAAATGAACAAACAGCTGTTGAAGTAAAGCCTGTAAAAAGACAATATCATAGTTAACTTAATTCTATACGGTATCGGTTTTTATGCTACACTGTCATTCTCAACTAACCATATAATTGCTATTTAGTACTGTAAGTAAGATGTCTCATTAATTAATTGAGTGTAAGATAATTACTATCATACAGGTGAGCTGACTTGGCCAGTCATTTGAGTATGTATACATTCTTGCAGGAAAAGTGAAAAACCTGATGTATTTCGACGGCTGTGCATCACACTTGTACTGCACCGTAATTCTGAGAGGGGGTAGCACTGCAGAACTAAAGAAGGTATAAACAGCGGTACAAAAAATCTGTGAAACGTCTAAAAACGGGTAGCGACGATGTAAACAAAAATATCCCACCGTCCTTGATAGCAGCTATAATTACTCATTTACTCTCTGATGTAACGGAGGCAGTAATCTGCGATTGTATCATAAACAGGTGAAAGAGATTCTGCAACTGATGATATACGTGGCCTACCATAACCGGTTAGAGACTTGCTTTCTCATGGATGAGTCTGTCATGCCGATGGCAAAGAAGTTTCCGGCCACATCAATCCAGAGTCCCGAGAGCGAGAATGTGTTGCAGACGACAGCGTTTGCCAATTCTACCAACATGGGTAAAAAACCAGGACACTCGTTCACCGACCTTTTGGGAAAGACCGAGTCGGATGAAGCGCGTGAGGAAGATCAGAGTGATGCATCCATGGTGAATAAGTGGATCGATTATTCCGTTCTGGAAAGTGATGACTCGCTGTTCAAAACTGTGTCGTCCGATGCCGAGAAAATTAAACTGCATGCTGATACAAAAACGCACAAGCTTCAAGGCAAGCATCAACGCATTAATTCCGGTGACGGGCTAGCAGAAATGCAGGCCGAGGTGGAAAGCAATGAGCTAGACAACGCGATTTCACTGAGCGCAGAAGCGTTGCCACCTGAGTGTGCCAGCGAGCCGAATCTTCACCCGATTACGCCGTATCAAAACGACGACCTCACGAACCAGTACGTCAGCAAGCGGTCGTCGGGCGACCTCGGGAGGAGCACGTCCGACGGCGACGTGCTGCCGATCGAGGCGGGAGCGTCCGTCGAATTGCAGCATCACAGGAGAGTCGGCGCGCTGACGTGCGACGACAGTCCGGCGGCTGCGACCCCGACGACGAGGCAGGGCCGAGCGGTGAGCATAGGCGACATCGCTCGACGCACGCTGCGCATACAGACGCTCGAGAACGCCGTCGACGACGACGACGTCGCCGCCACCGCGTCGCCGCGTCTCGCGATGCGCTCGCTGTGCGAAGATAGAGCGCTGACCGCTGCGCTGGCCGCCGTATACGGGGCCTCGCCGCGCGCCGGCGCGCCGCACGGAAGCGTTGCCGACAACGTGTTCTGCACACCGATGCCCGTCGCGCGGAAACGCGAGCCTTATGCACGGCAGAGCGTGGCGGAGGAGGGGCCGACGGAGGAGGAGGAGGCGGGCGACGAGTACACAGACCCGCTGCAGCGCTACCTGCACTCGAAGGACGAGAGCGTGTTCAAGACGACGGACGAGAGCCTGACGCTGCGCACGGCCCACCACGCCGTCGACCAGTTCCGCAAGGCGCTCGACGACGTCGTGCTCTCCGTGTCGCCGAACCTCAAGTACGCGCCGCCCTTCCTCGAGACGCAGCCGGGCCGCCGCTGCATCCTGCGCGAGTACCTCCCCGTCGAGATCTACCGCTCGCAGCTCTTCGGCAAGAAGGACGCGCGCTGCAGGCCGAGGCTCGACAGGGATGTCGGGAACGGGAGCGAGGTGGGCGGCGACGGTGGCGGCGGCAGCGTGCGCTACCTTCCCTCGCATCCGTTCCTGCTGGAGAGGTTCACGGCGGGCGTGTCGGAGACGAACGTACAGAACCTGCTGTCTGACTTCCGCGCGCGCGGCGGCACGATAACCCCCGTCTGCTGCGCCTGCGACCACGAGTGCGAGGAGGAGGCCAGTGACTGCACGGATGTGATAGTGCCAGCTGGGTTTCTGGAAAGCGCAAGTAGAAACGACTCGGATAGGAGGCAAGAAGAAACGACGTGGGACCCACGCAAGGTACTCGATCAGGCAATTGGATATTTGGTCTCAGCATTCCGTAGTCTTCTATATGTGAGCAGGTCTGCAATTGTTAGCTCATCTGACATAGTCAGATGCAGCTTGTAGAATCGCATGATCGTCCGTGCGTCCGTGCGTCCGTCCGTCCGTCCGTCCGTCCGTCCGGGCGTCAACAGTTGGGCACAAATCTTAACCGCTCGACGTACGGTCACGATATTCGGGACGTGGGGGGGTAATCCGAAAACGAGTTGGGATGTCGAAGCTGGGGGTCAAAGGTCAAAGGTCAAGAGGTGTAAAAGAAGGGGGAACATTCACTCCTTAACTTAAGGTATAGGGAGGAAATGCAGAATTGCGGCACAAATCTAAACGGCTCGACCTAGGCTCGTGATAGTCGGTGTATAGCATCATGGTAGGAAAAGCCATCACTGTGCCGAAATTGGAGGTCACAGGTCAAAGGTCAGTGGGCACAGGGCAGATTTTAGACATTTTCTGAGGACATGGTCTGACGGAGCGATTGAAAAACTTTTTTGTTTCAGCGGTGACCTAGTATTTTTATGGCTTTATTGAAAGGACCATGAAATGTCCCTTCTGCTGACATGCGAAGAGTAAGTGTCGGATAACCTTTTGACCCTCAAGAGGAGGGTTAAACTTGGATTTGTTGACTGTCTGTTAGAAAGAATTTGACTGCCGGGTTTGCTAGTAGAATCTATACATGCCTGGATGTATGAGGCTACAATGTCACAGTGAAATTTCAAAAGCTAAATTTGGTTAAAGAAGGTGTATGTTCCTTAAATCGTATAATTTCTATGTCATTCTGTACTGTCAGTATGTTACATGTAACGTATGCCACTGCCAGTGGCTGCTGCCAGTGCATGTGTTGGTGCAGTTTTTGCCTGCGTTAATTGGTTACAGGTGGCAGCTCTCTATTGCAATTTGCAGCCTGTAGGCTTGCGTAGGTAAATGGATGAGTGCTTACCTATTCTGTCTTGCAAATAGTTGTTGCTACTACGTATGATGGGAGCTTCCATCTTTAATCTGAAGACACTTAAACGTACGCGCCATCTCGTGGCAACTTTCATAACGATCCCAACGAACATTCTTTTGGGAAGGTTCCTGATACCATCCCTGTGCATTCCACTGTTTCGGCGTGTATGTGAACACATTTGGGACTAACAGGGTTTACTAGAATCCCACCACTCCACCACAGAGTCACCGCAGTAGACGTTAGATGAGCGCTGTCGCTCTGCGGCACTTGTTACAGAGTAATTTTAGTTTGGAGAAAAATTATTTTAGTAGTATGGTTTGTTCATTAACAATATTGACTTATTTCAGTATGACTGCCTGAATCCATACAATCACCAGAAAATGGCAGTCCTGTTCAACAGCTACTCATATGTGTCAGCGAATGCACCCAATTACTGTGTCAATCCCTGGTATGTACAATGGTAGCAGAACAGTTATACACATAGACATTTTACAGCATAGTGTAATTAATACATAATACATAATGCATTCTTTCTCCTACAAGATGTTCTAGATTTAATAGCTCTATATGTGAATTTAATTTACCTTCTGTTATATTCTGATGCTGTTACATTCTGTGTTGCATGTCTTGCTTTGGCTTCGCTCATGTTTCGAGAAAACCTGAAGATAGTGTGGGATAAATGACTGACAGATGTGCGATTGGTTGCTTCAGGGTTGTAACTATGGATTTCTATGGGAGAAATGACATAACACTAGGAGCCTTCCTGGAACGCTATTGTTTTAGGTAAGTCCATTAAATTATGTAAGAAATGATAGTGGAATGTCGCAGTGAAATTTTATATACGTTTTTTTTTATAAATGAAGATGTATTTAAACACATGTCGTAGGAAAAAGTATTGATAGAGACTATGTCTGAACAGCTGAGCAATGTTGCATCATTCTTTTAGGCAGACATATCTGTGCCCTAGCGTGTTGTGTGACACACCAATGCTAGACCACATACGCAAGTTTTCCCACGAAGAAGGGTGTGTGCAAATAGACCTGCGCAAACTAGAACAACCCATCCCTGGTCCAGGAGAGAATATACTCATGTGGAGTTGGTGTAGGAAATGCAGACAGGCAAGTCTAACCTTTTCAACAACATTCTTACTCATGTTCACACCTATTATTATGTAAAACCAGTGAAATAATTTGATGACAAAATCAGGACAACACACTTGTGGGCGTATTATAAAATTATAATGTAATCGAATTTGATTTGTCTTTCAGGTGACCCCAGTAGTACCAATGTCAAGGTCAACATGGTCCATGTCCTTTGCCAAATATCTCGAGCTACGTTTCCATGGTTACCAGTATGGCTGTCGAGCAGAGCAGGATGTCACATGCACACATTCTCTACATCATGATTACTACCAGTACTTCGGCAGTGGAGAATACGTTGCCTCCTTCAAGTAAGTATCCATGTGTGCGTGTGTGTGTGCGTCTCTGTGTGTGTGCGTGCCTGCGTGCATGCGTTCGTGCGTGTGCGTGCATGCGTGCATACTAGGGCAATGCCAATGAGGTTATAGAATGATGAAAATTGAAATGGTGTGAATAATTTATGTTGAAAATGTTTATAAAGCATAATTGTTACGTAAATTCTTAATTAATATCACTATAAACAAAGTACCAAATATCGTTTATGCTATTTTAACGCTAATGCAATAAGTCATACATATTATGAATTTAGACTGTATGTATGTATGTATTAGTTTCCCAAATACTAGTTTTCTTACTGTTCTGTAGGTATTCGCCGATTTTACTAAGGGAAATCTGCCTGCCACCTTCCATCATCACCGTAAAAGAAGATCGAATCAAACACAATGATATCATAGAGAACGTGAAGTACCTCGCTGTAAAGTAAGCCAACACCTTCTTTTCTGCCAAGATATTAAAAAAATCAGAAGTTACAGCAGGCATTCAACAGTGGAATTAAATTGAATTGAATTGCTAATATTTACCGTAATTTATAAAGTGTTTATTGCTGATATCATGTTATATGAGTGAAACTTGAAAGCTGTAAGGAAGAATTTAGATATTATCCGAGAAACGGATGCATTATTGGTTCCACGTATTAGAAATCCATTCCTTCCCAGCATGACTTAATTTTCCAATTATCACTACCTGAAATCTTCATTTTTTAGAGGTTATGGAGTGTACAGTGCAGTGCTGGAAAGAATTTTGACACTGAAGGAAGCTGTAGTTGGTAGTAAATATGAGCAAACCATTGCAGACTACATGGTTAAACAACAGATTGAAAGATCAGAATTCCGAAGGTAGCACACTGAATCTATATATACACGTACATTTGTCCATCTTAGTCAAGTCATGTGTCATATCACAGCCATATTGTGCTTGATTATGTAAACCAATGTTTTATTATAAGCATTGCATGTAAGTCAGTGACCATCTCATTTGTATTTTATCAGAGGTCCATCATAATGTCTTTAAAAAAAATCGAAGAACAAGTAAAAAATTCAGTTTTTTTTTCCAATTAAGTATTGATATTTTTCTTTTGTGATTGATCAGAGTAAAAATTTGTTAAATACATTTTTGAGACATCAAGAATTGTATGTATAATTATGCTGTTGTAGGTATATAGAGGATATTCAACTGATGCTCGTTGTCCCAGAACTCACAACTTTCCTCGACAATCAAGCAGACAGCAACCCAGGAGGTACATAGTGTTTAATAACTAAACACAACATTGACAATGAATTTTATTAAGCAGCTGACAGTATATAGAGTACAATGATCTATGTATGTTGGCCTTAATTTCGTTTAGTTTTTGTCCATGTTCTTGTGCAGTGGTGTTTATAAATATGCTGGAGTACCTTGCTTGTATTCAGTGTGAAATTAAATCTTAGGATTTACATGTTTCAGGTTTACAGCTGTTCCTTGAGATTCTGGATTCGATTACTAAGTTGAAAACGGTGATTGCTGGTGCTGTTGTTTTTTGGAATGCCAGGTGAGCAGTGATAGACATATATGTAAGCACAAGAGTAATTATCATGATCATCTATTTCTCAGAAAGCATACATGTGATCTGTAGTGATAAAAAAGGAAGTCCAGCATTTTCTTTTCACGTGCCTTTAGGATTACAGAATTTCTTCAAGCAAAAAAGTTGGAAGACAAGATAAAGTCAAAGACCAACCCCAAACTGCCTGTTGTAGCAGGAAGATCTAGAGATGAGACATTGTCGACACCAGCCTTTGTGTCCACACCAAACTATACTGGGGCACCAGTGCAGCCCTCTGCGCATAAGGATGCTGTGAGTTACCGCAGACAGAGATTTTACAGGAAGAGTTGTTAAAATTATATTGGCTTCTTCCAGTTTTACACTAGTAGCATTGTCATCACTTATAAATTACTATATTTTACTTTCATTTTTTGTAGAAGTCACATTTCTATTTCTAGGAGATGCCCTCAACGACACTGCAAAAACAAAGCTCTGGTATTTTCGTTAATACCACAACACCTATTAGCGTTGTTCCACCAGGTGGCAGTGAAATCAATGATCTGTCGATACCTGAGCTGGGACAAACTGGTAGTGATTCCCCATACACTCAGAAATTGATAAATAATGAGGGTAAGTGCAAAGATTTGCATAAAATCTATATTATGTGGTACCTAATAAATTATCAAAATGTCATTTACTAACAATGTGTGTGAATATTATATAGTTGATAATAAATTGCTAATAATTAGGCATTCATGCAGTTTCAGCAGAGTGCCAAGAGACTGTGGATGCTCTTACTAAGCTAGAGATCTTCACACAAAATTCATGCAGTGGTAAGCTAATCAACAAATAGCTGAGCGACACACATTCATTTAAAAACGTTTACATATTGTAGTGTGGAACAACCGGTAACAGTGTAAAAAATATACTTCTTGCTTCGACCCATATAGCAATGTTTAATATAATACATTTATATGCATTATAAATGCATGCAATACCTGAATGCATGCCATGCTATTTTATCAAAATATTAGTGCCACAGTAATAAAATTTACTTTCATTATTTTTTCAAACAGCCTCTTGCTCATCTGCTGGCGGCGTAAGTCAGAACTCGCCTGTGGAATTCAGCGTAGATCCTGGAATCTGTGCCATTGCTCAGCTGGCAGATGGAGCCACTGACAAGGATGAGCGATTTGTTGTATGTCATGCAAGGGATGGTAGGTTGTGTTATTACATGTGTGTGTGTGCGTGCGCGCGCGCGCGCGTGCGTGCGTGCGTGTGTGTGAGTGCGAGTGTGAGTGTGTGTGCATGTGTGAGTGTGTGTGTGTGGGGGGGGGGGTTGCGTTCATGTGTGCGTGTATGTGAGTGATTGTGTAAATTTCTCTCTATAAATTTTATTGTCTAGTTTTCCATTATTATGTAGTGACTTTTTGCCTGTCTATCATGTCTATTAGTAGGTTTAATGCAATCTGATTGTGTTTAGTAACAGCAGTACTCTAATAACCTGTCAATTTATTACTGCAGCAGGAGTAGACATGCTAAGATCTCACAGACGATGCCTGTCAGATGGGGAAACTCAGATGAAGCAAGCAAACAAGTGGTCTGCAGGTACGATGGTAGTAAATGCTGCAATGTCTGTGGGAGAGTTAAAGAATCAGGAAAATCAATTTGAAGAATTATAGTCTGATTTGAAATGTTTGCAGACACTTGCAGATGAATCTGATTCTTATAGAGTGGTTTAACTATCAGAGAGTTTGAACTGTTCAAATGTCTGAACTTAAATAATCATGATTGGAATATTATGTTTTTGTAGAGGAAGATCAAACAGATTCAAAGGCTGAGAGGAAGACGGGGGGTGGTGCTACCATGAAAACAATATTTACACAGCTGATTTCTGGATCTGGATATGTTCCTCTGCCACTAGCTTTGTAATTATCACAGTTAATGTTTTTTTCCTAAAAGTTTTATTTATGGAAGGCGTTGCTGTGTAATAGTTCTTTTAGGTTATAGTTCATTGCATGTAAATCTGTTATTCAATTATGAATTGGCATGGATCGAGCAGGTAGCATCTGAATTGAGGTATGATATCTCACATTTATGTGTGAAGAGTGATAGTAAAGATTTCTAACTGTCTAACGTGGGAATGTTTTATTGCAGTCCTCCAGACGAGCACTACCTGCCACCTGATCCAGGATCTGTACCCGTAGTCATCTACGACAAGGAATCCAGTTCCATTATTGCCTACACTCTTACGTATATTGATATGAATTAAACATACATGGTTATATAATTCTGCACATGTGAAAAATTTTGCTATATCTATTATTTTAGGCACCATGATAAACAGTGTCTTCTGTAAGTGTGTCTACACCAATGAGTGAGGTTTAATTTCGTGGATTATCACCAAATAGGATATTTCTAAAGGAGTGTATAGTGTTGGCTGCAGATATCTAGCGCTGACTACTCGTATATTATTTTGCAGCTCATCTGAGTATGCGAGTCAGCTGGAACACATACAAGTTGCTCTGCGTCAGTTGGCTACACCCCAGCCCTCTGCACATGGCAGGTAACATCACTGAATCCACAGTATACAAGCAAAACTCTCAATAAATACCCTATTGTTGTGTGAAATGCCATGAGGTAGTACCCTTGAAGTGTGTGCTTTTAACGAAGCTTCCATTGCTTTATTTTCAGTCCAACGACGAAAAGACGAAATCAGAGTGGAGACCAGCTGTCACAGGATGGCTTAGATATTTTAGAAGGTATTAGACCAACAAGTTCTCGCCGTCGAAAAACATAACTACCCATTTATATTGGTTACAGTATGGCCAAGCTGTTCTGCTTCACATAATAGTATAAACGGTGTGAAGTTTATCAACAAGAACACGGCACGAATCATCTTACGGACTTTCGAGGATAAGACAATTCACATTTGTAAATAAATGTGAATATATGACCGTAAACTAAATACAGCATCTTCCAATATTATTTTAAAGTGACTACATCACGAATTTTCTATGGTAAAATTTGTAAAGTTTTTGTTGCCATTTTTTACATTAAAAGTAAGAACTAAAGGGACTAAACGTATCGTTAAATTCTTACCTGATAAGATTGTTTCTCAACTAGCTAAAAATCCAAAAAACCTGGACGATTTGATATTAGTGTTTATAACATTAATTGCTTGCTATGGTCTATGTATAAGTCACGAGTGTAAGTTCACATCGAACAATATAGTAAAATAAGAAGTATAATGCAGCAATTTAACCATGAAAAGTGAACAGAATCACTTATATTTTGTGAAAAAGGGGATTTTTTTTTTTAGTATTTACGGTGACATAATCACTTTAATGAGAAAAAATTCCTCTACATTTACTCTGGGAATGTACTTGCGTTCAGCAAGATGTGATTACTGCAATGCGCTGTGCGAGGTCATGTCATGTTTCAGTCGCTAATAGCTAGACTGCACCAGCTGGTTAAGTTGAACAGTTTGCAGGGAGAGATGCGACTGGTCTCTAGTGATTGGTCACGACGTAGTGGTTAGTTGGGTCGACAGTGTCATTTGTCGCCTTCGCTTGCACTGGCTCTGTCTGTTCCATATTGAGGCCCTCGCAAGTCTGCTGTGCTTGCTTTCTTCCGGGGCAAAGACGTGGAGCGGTCCCCCAAGCTCTTGAGGGTGAACAAAGCTGCACTGAATGCTGCTTTGGACTCAGTGCAGTACATACCAGGGGCAGAGAGCGTTGATGAAGATGGTATCGGTGTTGCTCGCAATTGCCTGGTTGTGACTTTGCCATGTCTGCTTGTGACTTTGCCATGTCTGCTTGTGACTTTGCCATGTCTGGTGTATGCACGCTCTTCAGTAGTTGGTAGTAGAAGGATCCAGTGTGCTTTCTGTTTGGTTGTTGTTCTGTTACCCCTTCAGTTTCAGCTTCAGTATATTCCGGTTTGCAACATTTTTCTGCAATTTAATTGAATTTTTTTGTAATACTGCAGTTTGACCCCGATATCCACGTTTGCAACACGGCGTAAAAATCTTTGTGTGAGCTTAGATTAACAAGCTTTGGACACACAGTATGAAAGAGCAATAGCAATACAGGCATAAAAACGGGGTAAACTAAATAGGATGTGAGTTATTAGAATAAGCAGATGAATGAGTGGCATAGACCTTTGTTTTGTTTTGTTGTGCTTTGCTTGTGCTAGATTCTGTATCAGCAAAATAGTTGCTGCTTGTAAAAAAACAAATTATGTTAATGCTAGTACATTAACCACGTCATTAATTTTAGAAAATAGAAATATTGTCATGTGAATAGGTATTGTGATATATATTTATAGAGGGATATGTAGCTAATTATCGTCTATCTGTTCTTATTCTAGATGTTCAGTCACAAGATGACTTCATGATCAACAGTACAGATAAGGAAAAGGCCCTAAAGCAAGGCCTGAACCTTCACATAGAGCTCCGTATGTTACATCTGTGTACATCTACCTACATGTGTTCTCACTGAAATTGACATTTGTAGTGAATAAGCATCTAGTCTATCCACTGCAAATAAGACGGTCATCATCTTGGTTAGATTGGGTTTTACTAGTGATGGTTTTCATACTGATGTCAATTTTGTACAGAAGTGTTACTGTATTCTCATGTGTTATTAGCTCACCTTGACATCGTCAAGCTGAGCTATAGCCATGGGTCGTCGTTCGTCGTCCGTCCGTCCGTCCGTCCGTCCGTCCGTCCGTCCGTCCGTCCGTCCGTCAACATTTCGCTTTGGTCAACGATAACTCAGGAACTGTTTTACCCACATGTTTGAAATTGGGTATAGTTGTTACTGCTATGCTCCCATATGGAACGTCCTATTTTGGAGCACGCCAGTCGACGTACGTTCGAGTCACGGCAATTTTTTGGCAAAAATGGGAATTGCCATTAATCAGTTCAGGTTCAACAGATTTTGCTCATTTTTGGTATGTGAATGAATAAGGGCTAGGGGTTTTGATATTAAAAAAAATTATATGACCCTAATTATGCAAAAACCAGATAAAACCGTCTGTGCTGTCCACACTCGTCGGTTCGGCTTTACAATCATGTTCACTTTGCACAATATCTTTATGCTTCAAAATGTATTCCTCTCACCTGCCGATATAAACCTATATTAGAGTAAAATTTTACAAACCACCATGTCGGAACGCAGTCATAACCTATTCTTCGTCGAACGCCATCGTGCGTAGCGCCAAAGCGGCGTATCGCGCCATCTACTGTCACCAATTGTGATTCATTGATTTATAAATATATTGCAATCATACAGAGCAACTGGCTATCCGCCTAAAAAAACTCAATACGAAGTACCCACTTCTCATGCAACCAATTAACCTATTGACAACAGTTGTGCTTATGTGCCAGGGAATACCACCATTGTCACGTGGTACATAGCAACTACGTGAATAACGTCCCCCTCATCTTAACCGTAACACATCGAGGAGCCCCGCTTTTAGGCAGTGCCTAAATCGAATATTATAAAAAACTTACTAGTGGTCTATCTTACAGAGTCGTCACGTTGACACTTCATACATGCAATGAGATCTACACTTCCTCCCTATATACGACACAGTGAATGCCTCTAACTTAATACAGTATGCAATTACTATACTTCCTCTACTTTTGTTCGAGTCACAAGGATAGTGTATTTTGTGTATTATATCAGACCATGTTATAGCACCACTATACTAAGTATTCTTGTTACTATGCACACGCACGACCACACTCTTACATCCATCGCACACAGAATTCTCCGACAACGCGGCCAAGTTCTACTGCCGGGTTTACTTTGCGGAGAGCTTTCGGAAGCTGCGCAAGCTGATCTTCCCGCAGGGCGAGGAGCACTACATCCGCTCGCTCTCACGCTGCTTCACGTGGATGGCACGCGGCGGCAAGTCCGGCTCCACGTTCTGCAAGACGCAAGGTGATTGAGACCAATGTGTGTGCATGCATGCGTGTGCTTGTGTGTTCTATTGCAGTGCTCTTAAAACCCAGTCACAGAGCGGCCAACCCCCCCCCCCCCCGATCTTATCACAAACTTATTCATATCACACCAACCGACAAAATAAACACACACCACACTTCGTTAACACACACACAGCATCGTCATCCCGATCAGCTTAATCTCAGCATGAACCATTGTCTCGCGCGCCGGCGTCGTATTAGCCCCACACCTTCCCCGTGCCGTCATACATTTGGCACAAAATCTTAACCGCTCGACGTACTGACTCACGATATCGCGATGTCTGTGTTGAGCTGCCTACCTTTGTGGGGGGAGGCGGAAGATGAGCGTGAAAAGACTCTATATACAAATTTCCTGAGGTCAAGGTCGAAGATTCAGAAAGTTAAACTGGGGAATATTTCTGCGCGCTGAAGCGTTATACAGTATAGAGAGCCAATACGAATTGCGGACAATCACATCTTAACGCTCGACCTATGCTTCTTAATATTCGTTGTATAGTCGCTGGCAGGAGACACAAACCCATCACCACGTCGAATTGACCGTCACATTCAAGCCCGCATTGGGGCAAAGTCACAATATCAACATTTCTGAGACATATCCAGAGTCAAGAAACTTCGACGGTCAAAACATGACAAGTCAAAAACTTCTTTGTTTACAGCCTCGACCCCATTTTATCAACTTATGAAACACCCTACCATGAAACAAATGGCTTTCCACGAAGCGAGACTAAGTTCATCTAACTTTTACCCTCAAACCAGAATCTAAACATTGATTCCTGAACTCCTCAAGACTTCACAGTGTTTCATATGCCCATGGCCAATCCATAATCAGAAACCAATATCCTATAGCCCAAACCTACACACATCACTCAACCCGCTCAAAGTGCGTTGATCGAAATTCCCATCCTCCACTCTCCTTTATTAATGAGCGCGACCTTTCATACTGGGTATTTTCTATCTTTAGAGTGCGATAGTTTACCTATTGCTACTACACAAACATTTACATAGTTTATTTACAACCAATTTAATAACAACAAATATAGAGTTTTATGCAAGCGAAGTAGAGATTGGTTTTTTAATATGATTAGGGTTCAGTCACACACTGCCACCATAAAAAGGAGTCCAAGCCACGCGATTGTATCAACCAAACTTGATTTTGAAGGTTCTGAAAGATCGTTTACTTCACAACCCCCGCTACTGCATATCTGCCGCCTACAAGGTTTCACTCCGCACACTTACATTTACGTTTCATAACCGTACACACAGACCTCAGACGAGGCCTCTGCGCGCCTTTTTGTGTCTTTCGTAATTTCATTCACACCCCAGCAATATTTTCATTCACCCTTGGGTAACATTCACCAGTAAGAAGCACTGTTGTATTTCTTCTTGACAGCCACACCACACCATTGTTCAGCCATCTGTAACTCGGTTTTTTACCAGAGTTAGTCGTAGCTAAGCAAGGTGAATACTGCATGTTCACAGCGACGAGCTATCGCCGCGCGAAGCCTAATGCGAGTGAGCGCGCGTTCCAGCACTACTGCAGTAACTCAAGCAATCACCAGACTACTTCAGCCCCAGATTTCGATTGTAATAATAACTACTCCTGCCCATCTTGATGTGCTAATGCGTCTGCCGTTCGTTCCACCCAGACCTGATTTTCAGTCTCGTCTACATTGGGGCCAGTCATTCTAAAGATATTTTAATTCAGGTTGTCATGGTAAGCAATCGTATTAATAACTGATCAAGTGTCGCTTAAACCCTGGAGGTAGATTAATGTCGTAATCACATCTTTTATTGTTGTCCATGAGTAAGTTAGATAATTTAGAAAGAGAACAGCTTGTCATGCCCAACCTCTATACCAGTGAATTTTGCCATTGTGATCTCAGATGATAGGTTCATACTGACCAGATGTCACCGTTTAAATTTACATCCGTTTATCTCCTGACGTCCCCCTCCACTTACTTGCCGTTACATACAAAAGCACATCCGAAACGGTACATTACTAATTGCTTTTCTGTTAATGTATACAAACGCAACACCCAACACACTCATTTTAATATTCTTAGCATTACCAGCTTGCTTATATGTCAAGATACGCGCGACCATTATTCAAGTGGCCTCTCCCAGTTCAAGAAGCCTACCAGTCCCAAAGATACTAGTTCCACGCAAGTTTACAGGAACACCCAAAACAAACACCTGGCTCAAATGCAGATCCTCCTCGTCAGGACACCCTTTTCCTATTACATAAAGGTTCACAGATCTTCGACTTGAAAGGCTCCATTAGAAACCGAACTGGCTAGCACGTCTGAAAATAGAGGGAATCCCGTGCTTACTCGATGAAACCCTACTCCGAACAGTGAGTTTCCAGCGCGAAAGTATCTGGACTGACATTTCCAATGTGCGCACAGTATAATTGATATACCCAGTACTCTCTCACTTCGTCATCATACAAGATGGTTCTGTTGTCAGCAGTGATTATATAGCGTAACTCAAATGACATATAAATGATATAATAACAAATCACATGTAATATGTAAAATGTTTGACTTTCAGTGACGTGCGACACACCACTCTACATTCGTCAATATTCCAAGACTGTTCTCACAATGGCAATCAACAGTGATACACACTTCCTCTCCAGCCATCTGGTGATGGACTATTCACTGCTAGTTGGCACAGACGATAACACCAAGGAACTCGTTGTTGGCATAATTGGTAAAAACATTCGATTGAATAGATGTTGAATTGCGAGTGTCGACATGTGATTATGTAGGGTAGAAGTTCATTTGTAAGTCATCAGGATAATATAATGATAGTTGATATAATGATAGTATGAATGCACTTTTATTATTCTTATTTACATTATTATGTTTACATACTATAAAAATTCAATGCAATTAAAACGTTAAGAATGTTCTTTAAAAAAAAAGCAGATGTCGTCATTAGTCGAGGTAAAAATGCACGATGTAGGTATTGATATCTGTTTACTAATTACAGACTACATTCGCACGTTCACCTGGGACAAGAGGCTAGAGATGGTGGTCAAGGCTTCAGGCATCCTTGGAGGGCAGGGGAAGATGCCTACCGTTGTCTCCCCAGAGCTTTATCGTACACGGTTTTGCGAAGCCATGGAGCGATACTTTTTGTGTGTGCCAGACCGGTGGTATGGCCTGGGCAGAGGTGTCGACTGCTGATTATTTATAACTTCTGTTATGTGTTGAATCGGATAATGTTACTAGGTTGGTCAAGCTGAACCAGTGTATACGTATCTTTCGTTCATGCATCCTAATCTCGACTTTGTGGCATTCTGTTGGCGAGAATTACGTTTAGAATGTCCTATCACAACAATGATTGGCTAGAGCTGCCTGTCAATCATGCCACCGATTTAGAACCTACAGACCACAGCTGTCGACAAGTTATATTAATTATATAATATATTTCTCCCATAAAAATCACTGGCCATCATCTCATAGGCTGTGATGTGATAACGTAGGGGAATATAATGTGAAATTATCAGTGCGTGTGTGCCTGCATGCGTGCATGCTCACGTGTATGCTCATTTGAAGGTAAAAATTTGAGATAGGCCTAGACCTCAAAGGTGTATTAATTTGCTGAATGGAGGTCAGAATTGAATCATTTAAACTGTGATTATGGAAAACTAATTGATGGTTTATAATTTATTGTCTGTTATACTATGAACATAAATAAACTGCCATATATAATAATTGTACATTAAACAATGGTTAAGGTTATTCTTAAACTTTAAAAAGTTTCAATGAATAGTATTAGAATAGAGACATTGTATACCGTGTTTAAAAGAGGAGTAATATAATGCCAGGCTGTGCATTTACAACAGAATTGGGTCACTATTGAAAAACTGAAGAATTCATATGAACATTAGGAGTCAGATCTTCACGCAACAAAATTCTGTATGAAAGCAATGTTCCTTTTTAATTTTAATGCATTTCAAGACAACGTTCTGTTTGTCTACCTATTAAAACATTGCTAGCTAATAAGAACTGGTGACAAAATGGCGCTAGCCTGACACGGTAGCTGACACTGCCCAAATACGTCACAGTGTGTATATTCAGGGCACATCCAAATCTAGAACCCAATATTGCCTGGATAGCCAAAGGCCACTACAGCACAGGTCTATCCAGGTGCTCAAAGTTCGGTTGGATCGAACCATGCTGATTTTTTATATTTACCTGTTTTCTGCTATTTTTCTATCTTCTATGCATTTAATCTATTGTTTACGCAGATATTTACTATGATTTATTTACACGCAATTTGATAACACCAAATAATTTTTTAAAATATGGTTAGGTTGGGTCAGCAATGCACCATAAAACAGGAG